GTCAGTTATGCAAGACGGTGGGCATGGCAATGAAAGCTTCTGGTCGTTCGGATGTGACGAAAAACAAAGGTACCGTGTACACGCCTGCATGCCCTTAAAGTAATTCTTGGCAACTGGAATTCGAAAAAAGGCTAGACCGTAGCGTCGCTGTCCCGACTAAAAGTCCCTCATAACACACATTACGGCGTATGCCCGTCTTCATTAGAACAGTATTCTGGTCTCGTCAAACATCCCATCCCTACAGATGTTAGGTCTGGAAATGTTCCGTTAAACTACCATAGTTTCTGAACTCCAATACGATACTAAACCTGTTACAGTCACACCCGTACAATGCAAACCTCATTTCAAACGAAATCAGGACATGGGTAACCAAAACTCACTTAACACTTGATATTGCGAGCATAATTAAGTCACTGAAGTGTTTTAACAATAAATCCAGTATCTCTCATATAGTCATTTTTGCAATTTGGTGAGCATTAACTATTATAAACACATGCTTTGGCAGGGCATGCATTCACAGACCAAACTCAGATGGATTCCAAAATAATAAAATACACAAAAATTTGAAAACTATTTTATTGAAATTCATCGCCAACAAAAAATTATCAGACATGCACCATACACAATTTGACAAAATATATTATCAACAATTACTAAATTGAGTCAATAACATGCTATCGAAATATAAATAATTATTGCCCAAATAAGGAATAGCAATGTTATCATTTGAGCCAATAAAACTATGACCTCTGCTATGTTCTGTTTATTTGAAAGCTTCCTTAAAGATGCTTTTAGATTATATTCGGATTGTCGCGTTGTTTACCCAAAATATCGTTGATACCTACATGCATAAATAATTAAATACACGATGAGTAATTTAATAACCCAGTCAAATTATGTCTATATCTGTTACCCTCCCACGCAGAATACAAAGAAATTTGGCATTTACGCTTCCTTGCAAACGTTTCATAATAGAACCCCCTAAAATAACTACAGAAAAATGTCTCTCTGGAATGCGCCAAAGGTCAACATGGCCTGAATTGCCAGAAGTACTATTCCTAACAACCCATAAATTCCAATGTATTCCTATTTTATCATGAAAGAAACTCTGCTTACTGGGGTCCATTAACGCATATTTGTCCCCTTTAAAAGCCAAAATTACAAATGTTTTGCCATTGCTAAAAGGGCTGGGAACCATATTGACACAGATTAAAGACTGGGACTATATAATTATGGTACACTCTACATTCTAGGCCAGAAAAAACCGGAAGGGCGGTAAAATTAAACAAAACGGCGGGAAAGCATAGTAGTCCTCATTTATTGACAGCGTGTAAGAGAACACATTAGTTCCCCCCGAAAAGGGGGTATTATAAGGTGTGAGAGATGTTTCAAGGGATTTCCATGCCTGTCCTTAACACAGTTGCAATCGAGAGACATCAAATCGACCGTATACGGTCCAAATATTAAATCTATCCTTTTGAAATACAAATTTGAGATCATAACATCCGATTATGACAGTGAACGAGAAGGAACATCTGCTGAATTATCTTTTGATGGAACCAAAATTAGTTTCAAACTTGTGTTGTGCTCTAACAAAACAAAAAATATTTGCTTCAGTTTTTGGTTTAATTCAGATGATCTACTGTACTGGTTATTCCAGGAGTCAACCAAACCCTTGTTATCAATTAGAGCATCAAGTCGAGAATCCCGTATCTCTTGACTAAGTGCCAATAAAGAGTTTAATAGAGCCTTCGATTCCTTCAACAAAATTGGCAAACTCATCCCAGTTTGAGTCCAGTGGTCATTAATCTCTAAATTATGTATTCCATTGTTCAGAATACCCGCCCACTTAAAATCCGAGGCATCAGCTGCAAACCCCAAAGTTTTATGAAATTCGGCCTTCCAATATGCCATTGGAACTAGTGGCTATAGTGCGAAAGCAGTTACCAACAAACGATTCGATCCTGTAATCGCTAATGAGAAGGACAGGCACTTTCCTGCAAAACCTTGCAGAGATTATAAATTCACCCGATTTAATGCTAAAATATCTTCCCTCAAATTTGCGAACTTTTCTATTTTAGTAACAGTTAACGTTAAGGTTTGGTGAATTGAATAAATTATCATCCTTAGACAAACTATACTTTGGGATGGAATTTGAACACATTTGGATATACAAACAACATAACCCAGTCGAATTATTAAGTCACATGACATATATACCGCGATCTTTATTCTTCTAATATTAGTTTCGTTTTCCATATTTATAGATCCGATCAACCTACCATCAATATATACTAAATTGTTAACTCCAAGAAATCTTACGTAAGACGCTACTAATTTACTCAAAATGTGATAGACGTAAACTGAGTGGAATTGTATTACAAACATAGTAGGCATATTTCCAATCGAAACCCCCAAAAGAACAGCTGTTTGTTTTGTTTTTTTTAAAAAAAATGAAAACATGGTCGTATCCCGATTTTCATCAAGTTTAGTCATGAAAGAACCGTGATCAATAATTCTAGGAACATCGTTCAAGCTGTCTATAAAGAAAGGAGTTATATCCTTCATCCACATATTTAAAAAACGCATGTCGAAACATAAGTCTTGTTTTGGTTTGGTTGGCTCCACCGTAAGTGGTGACACAATGTAAGGTAGGTTACCTACGCCAACAGAGCCCAAATGGAAATGGCAGCGGTGTTTAGTCTATTAGCAACCTCGTTATCAATAAATTCAGCAAAAGAGTAACAGTTAGAAGAATTCTTTAAAATTTTAGCTGTAAAAAGGAACAAGAGCTAAATCAGATTGAATAGACTTTGGTAAAGCGTTCAAAATACTATTACATTAATCAAAACAAGACTGTGTAATACACCCGCATTAAATGCGCTTGAGTCCCTAAAGACAATATGATCCATCTCGACCGGATCAGTTAAAACTGATTCGGAAGGTACCATATGATGCCATGCACAGGACACGCCCTCAAATTTCACCCAATTATGATATTCAGATTGTATCTACAAAACAAAACGTATAACAAAAACTTGTAGTTATGTTGAAAGTTTGCAGAGTCCGTTTCTGATGCAAAATATCAATATTGATTTCAGAGGTTCTAGATGCGTATTCTTTAACCCCCCTTACCATGGTTTCTACAGATTCCCGTTCTTTCTGTTGAGCTTGGAATTCTTCCCTTAATTTTTTGGCTTCCGATATCAATTCATTCTACAAAAAAGTAATTTTGAACATAACGTGATGACGAAATCCCAGCTCCAAAAAGGTTTAAGGGCTTTCCAAGACATCAGAGTATAAGCAACATTGGCAATCTCTGCACAGTTCGTTTCACTCTGATATGCATCTTCAGCTATCGGAGGTACAGACGATGATTTGCGAAAAACTGATTGAAGTACAACACATTGTCCCAACATGTCGAATGATTTCCAACCCACTTGATCCAAAACATCCCTATCACATACGCCTTTAGCTCTTAAGTTAATAGCGCACCCACTGTACGCAACTGACCAACTAAAGAGCCTACGGATGATGCAGCCATTCTGCACGGACAGTTGCACATTACTTTCTGGACCCTGGTCTTCCCATTCTTGTCCTTATAAACAAGAAACTGACGCATAGCTTTACCGAAGCCAGGAAATCAATAAGTTCATTTTTCAGCTTTTTAATAGAATATTTTGAGGGTTGTAAATAGCTATCTAATTCTCTTATTCGGTCATTTACCTCATCAACTACTTTTAACTGAAAAAAAATAATAAAATGACTCCAAATGAACTCCTACACAATATACAGACTTTCGATAAAATTCTGAGAACTCTGAACACACCAAACACCGTGCTAGTAATATGAACTTCCCGAGTGGATGGGAGGATGCTTGGTAACAAATACAACTTGAGATAAAACATCAGATGTTCCATCAGTTCAGGAGCCACGGTGGCTAGGTGGTTAAGACGCTGGCTCGCTAGCCTGGGGGTCGGGTGTTCGATCCCTGCAGCTGTCTAGTCCTTCGGATGAGACGAAAAACCGAGGTCCGGTGTATACATTGGAGTGCACATAAAAGATTCCTTGGCAGTTGGAATTCGATATAAGATTAGGCGATAGTTTCGCTGCCCGGGCAAAATTTCCCCATAGCACACTGTATGGCGTATGCCCGTCTTCATTAGCCCAGTATAGGAGCAGAACAGTAGGATGTTAAACCCCATTTCATTTCATTTCATTTCCATCAGTCTACATAGAGTAGAGTATTTTCATAGATTCAGTCTGAGATTAGAACATTACTGGAGTCGTCGCAGATATATTTTACTAGTAACGGTTTGGGATGGGTACAGTTTTGATGCCCGAGAGATTTTAATTTAGATTAGAAAATATGAAGATCAATGAGAGGACACATTCTGATTCATGGCTGATGCATTCGATATGGCCCCCATTTACATCAAAAAGGACTACACAAATAATGTTGACTTTGGTTTGAACTCTGCTGGTAGACATCTGTATGTTTTATAGTGCTGTCAGTTTCTCAGGAAATGTTTGATTATGCATACCTTAGTGACTGTTTGTCTTTAATAAGAACTAGCTGGGATTGGTACCGTGTGTTACTCGCACAGAATATTCCTCGGAATGCTACACTGGTCCCTACCCTTTCTTCTTAATTCTTAATTTCTTTTAAAATAAATCAAAGCTGTGACACCGGAAGACATAAGTTTTAAGAGGGCAACACGAATGCTGCATGACATACAGTTTAAGGCGGCAACACGGATACGGCATGACATAGGTTTAAGAGAACAACGCGGATATTGCATGAAAAAGGTTTAAGAGGGCAAGGCGGATACTTAGGGTTCAAAAGGGCAGCGCCAATACTGGGGGGAGGCGAGGATAATGTTATGGTTACACTTCCTACAAGAGCTAGGTAATAAAATATGGTATTTAATCGAGATTTTAATTTATAGCACATCGTTCTTTACAAATATCATTTATATATAAATAGTTCATATTATTTTATTAATAGTTTTAAAACCTTTACATAAATATCTTAAACTTCATAATTGTATTTAAATAAATTACACACATCGGTACATAAAATAATATGGGGTAATAATAAATAAAATATAGTTTGGGTATTTATGTATAATTATTACACAGAAACTAAAAAATTTAAAGTGTTATCTTTGACTGTTAAATTATATTCTGTTCAAGGCCTTGAAATAAAATATATATTGTGACCACTCAATAAGCATAGGCCATGGACTAAACAACATGACAATAATCAAATTCTTAATTTCCATAATAAAGCAGGATTACATGTAATATATAAGCGGGTAAATAAGCAGCCAATTCAAGTTAATTGTGATTAACAAAAAATAAAAAAGAGTTATATCAGTAACGCTCATATGAGATGCCCTTTATGTCATTAAAGGGAATGATATGTATTATTCCTTATTACAGCAATGTTGTTGCCATCTACAAACAAATAAAGAGAATAGGTTCTAGCTAGTAGCTTGATTCATAATGTACATTTCAAATATGTAATTATATAGGTTAGAGTTCACAATAATTATTATCAAATCTTTTATTTTAGTTTGAAAGTAAATTATGTCTTTTATTGGTAAATAAATCTTCAGATAACAAGTTTGTTGATTATATTGTTCATTCCCGATGATCACTGAATAACTACCAAGAGATCATTATTTTTGCATTGTCTTCACGTAAAAGAATAGTTTTTGATGAAACTGTAAACCATTTTATAATGTGTATTATTTAAATCCTCTTTTGCTTAATCCATTGCACTAGCTCTATTTAAATCATTTTGACCTGACAGGGATGAAAAAGAATTAACTGTTCGTTTTCTAACAAGATCGTACGGCTGCATCAGTTCTTCAGCAACATCATTGTCAAATTGCCTTTTCCCGACAATTCCACTAGCTAAAGGATCAAGATACCTTTTTGATTTCATTTCCTCAATATATGAATGATATTTTGACTCCATATTTCTTTTTCCAATGAGGCCAGTAGCCAAAGGGTCAATTGTTCTTTTCCCGATAAGACCAGCAGCTAACGGATCTATGGTGCGTTTACCAATAAGTCCTGCTGCAAGTGGGTCGATGGTGCGTTTACCAATAAGTCCTGTTGCAAGTGGGTCGATGGTGCGTTTACCAATAAGTCCTGTTGCAAGGGGGTCAATGGTGCGTTTACCAATAAGACCCGCAGCTAAAGGGTCAATTGACTTTTTGCCAATAAGTCCAGAGGCTAACTGATCTATGGATTTTTTACCAATAAGTCCAGCAGCTAAAGGATCAATTGATTTTTTGCCTATAAGCCCAGAGGCTAACTGATCTATGGATTTTTTACCAATAAGTCCAGCAGCTAAAGGATCAATTGATTTTTTGCCTATAAGTCCAGAGGCTAACTGATCTATCGATTTTTTACCAATGAGTCCAGTGGCCAAAGGGTCTATCGATTTTTTACCAATGAGTCCAGTGGCCAAATGGTCTATTGATTTTTTGCTAATACGTCCAGAAGCTAACTGATCTATCGACTTTTTGCCAATGAGTCCAGTAGCCAACGGATCTATTGATCTTTTAACAAAACGCCCAGAACCTATCTCTATGGTGGATCTTTTACCAATCAGTCCAGACGCCAATTGATCAATCATCCGTTTGCCAATAAGACCGGAAGCCAACTGGTCGATTGTCCGCTTTCCAATAAGTCCAGCAGCTAAGGGGTCGATTGTTCGCTTTCCAATAAGTCCAGCAGCTAAGGGATCGATTGTTCGTTTTCCAATAAGTCCAGCAGCTAAGGGGTCGATTGTTCGTTTTCCAATAAGTCCAGAAGCTAAGGGATCGATCGTTCGTTTTCCAATAAGCCCTGCGGCTAGTGGGTCCATATGTCGTTTTCCTATGAGTCCTGCTGCTAATGGATCAAATGGCCGCTTCCAAAACATATCGCGATATCGTTTTCCAAATGGTCCATAAAAACGTTTGCCTATCAAACCACTGGCCAAAGGATCGAATGGTCTTTTACTATCAAAGTCATACAAAAAACGTTTATCTGGGCCAGGATAAGATTCTGACATATAATTGACGTTTCTTTTAATCACAAGATGGTCTCTAGTTTTGGCTTTTAAACATACACTGAAAAATAGAAAATAAAAATTTAGTCGATATTAAAGCGTACTTATATGGGAGAGAGAGAGAAAGAGAGAGAGAGAGGGGTCCACTAGTCTCAAACCAGACCATTTCGGAAGTGGGCGGGGATACAACTACAAATTACCGTGAAGCGTATTAGATTCTTGTAATGCGTCTCCTGCCATGAGTGATCTGTTTCTCTATTTACGTGATCTTATGGCACGGGTGTCGAACACGAGGGTAGGTATATATAAATATTGCACTTTGGCCCAAAACGTATAACTTGTGAACTGTGTTGATATTTTTATTTTGCCTGTGTAAAATCACCAACGGTACATAAACATACTCATTGCAAAACCCAAATACTGCGGTCTAACTATATATATACATATATTTTATTTCATCCTTGAGACTTTGCTTATTGTTAGCTCTATTAACACAGATCTAATCCTTTTCTTTCATAAGGAAATACATAGTGTGTAAATTACATTTAAATCTGTGAAGAATTTAGTTGCTTACATTGTAATGACATTCCGACATTAATGTTTACGAGACAAACACCATTTTACTCAACAACAAATCTGCTCGTAAAAATGGGACTTGGCTTTCAGCGTACAATGATTTAAAAACAAATGCCATTCTGTATAATATAACACGTGGAAGTAAAAGCTGATTACCCGACTTTCCGTCATATACAGTTAACATTGCTTATATGAATTCTAACTTTTGGGGGATCTAGGGCCTAATTAACAAAACAGGGTTGTTTTTTTTTTATCCAAATCCAAAACGACTGTAAACCTACGTTGGCTCAATTAAGTGGTCAATTTGAAACTGCAATGCAATCTACACGAAACCTCAGAGTGTTCAATTCAGACGACTACACAATTTATTTCCCACATCCTCGCTACCCCCACTGGTATTGTTCCGTTTTACTCTACTAAACCCTGGGTCCATGCAGGCGGAAGACACGCATTCAAATTATCCGCAATTGCTAATTGTGTTTTTTTTTTATACGCCCACATTTTCATGTGGACGTATATTGTCGTCGCCCCTGTCCGTCCGTCCACAATTGTTTGTGGACACTCTACAGGTCACAAATGGCCGCCGTTCGTTCTCAAATAGCGTAAAAATATGGTATATCAAGGTTGTGGACCCTATAGAGGTCACAATTTTTATCCGATTTTGGGCCGATTTTCACGAAATTCGAACTCAGTCGTCCTCAGGGTGTAACGGTGATATAATAATACGGTTTTTTAAATCGGATAAAATTATGACCTCTATAGGGTCCACAAGCTAAAAATGCGATTTTTCGTACAATCAGGGGCCATAATTCAGAAAGTTACGGTCCGATATGCGCGAATATCGAAAGGAACCGAGATCTTTAGGTTATAAACTTACATTTCAAGTTTCAAATAAATCGGATAAAAATTGTGACCTTGATAGGGTCCACAAGCTAAAAACGTGATTTTTCGTACAATCAGGGGCCATGATCCATGAAGTTTCGATCCGATACATGCCAATATCGAAAGCAGCCGAGATCTTTTGGGGATAAACCTATATTTCAAGTTTCGTAAAAATCGGATAAGAATTGTGACCTGTAGAGAGTCCACAAAGAATTGTGGACGGACGGACAGGGGCGACGGCATAATACGTCCACATGAAAATGTGGGCGTATAACAAAGATCTCGGTTCCTTTCGATATTTGTGCATATCGAATTGTAATTTCCAGAATTATGGCCCTTGATTGTAGGAAAAATCACTTTCTTCTTAGCTTGTTCTCTATCCATCTCTCGAAAATGTGGGCGTATCCTGCCTGGCAGCCGCTGGTTTAACGTCCATTCAAAACATTCGATGACATGATCCGCTCATAAGGACTGTTATGACTGGTCTAAATACATTTTTTTCTATCAAAAATATGTTTTATATGGAAGCCGATAAGTACCCTTTTGCTTCTTGGTACCTTAGCTTCGCTACAATTAACAGTGCGAAGTCAAGAAATAATCAGTACGAAGCCAGGGAGTCATGCCTTCTTGCCACACACTGTTAACCCACAACAAAAAGAAGCCGCGACGGAGCGAGAATTTTTGCCTTATTGCCTTCGCGTCTCTATTAGTCTATAAACGCAAAGCGAAGGCAAGAAGCCGCGAATTTCACTTTTATTTTAAATAGGTCAACCCAAAACACGGAAAACAAGCCAACAGTGAGGCTGATGTCCCCCGCCGAAATTGCAAAATAAATAGATGACACATTGATCAATCGCACATTTATTTTTTTCACTAAGTTTCATCACTCTCTATCAGATAGAATCAAGATTATCTTGTCCCAAACAATCGACAAATGAAATCGATTAGCTCTGCTTAGCTTCAGCTCGAAATGTTAATCATTGAACTCAGTCACGACATTCACCTAATGAACATCTACATAAAGTTTAAACATTCACCTAATAAGACACCTAATAAACACCTACACCAAGTTTGAACATTCTAGCTCAATTAGAAAGAGAGTTATTGTGTTCCAAAGTCTCGGCCAATGAAATTGCTTATCTCTCTGCTTACCCTGGGCAGAAAATGCTCATTGTCGAACTTAGTCAAGGTATTGATGTAATAAAACTATACACCAAGTTTCATCACTCTCACTTAAATAGATCTAAGTTATCGTGTCCCAAAGCATCAACCAATCAAATTGCTTATCTCTGCTTACCCTAAGCAGAAAATGCTCATCTTCGAGCTCCCATCAAGGCATTGACCTAATAAACACCTACACCAAGTTTGAACATTCTAGCTCAATTAGAAGGTGAGTTATTGTGTTCCAAAGTCTCGGCCAATCTCGGACCAAAAAATTACATGACACGCGTAGTTGTTAAAAGGCTCTACCAAATGATAAAACATTAGCTGCACTTAAAGAACAAATACTGGTGTCAGTCATGATTGCATATGTGACAAACATATTCCAAATATAATTTTAACATAGAGATCGTTGCTACGGTAGATGTGTAACAAACACTTGAAGAAATGGGAAGTGACGACAAAAATGACAAGCACGAGTTATCCTTCTATATAACAAACTGAAGTAATAAGAGATAAGACACGATCGAATTTTATTTCACAAATACCCTCGCCCTGCCCCCAACGCATTCCTTGTCATAAGGGTAAGTGATTTCAAATAAAACGTCAAGTTACCCAATTCTGAATTGTCACATTTCAAACGTGAGTATATGATCCGAGCTTAATGATAATTGAAGTTCCAGTGAAGGTACATGCAACCTTTATCTGGAAGACTGTTACAGTGTCCTTACTAACTGGTGTGACAAAAACTGTGGAATGTTGCGCTGAATCAACTTAGAAATAGAACAGGTTCCTGGAGTTCAGCGTTTTATCTCGAGGCATTTTTAGTCCACCGAGACAATAATACATCTATTGTTTTGGAAACAGAACAGGATACTGCGACCTAACAATTTAAATGGAAATAACACACAACCTTAGAACTAGCACAGTTTAAATGGCCGGGTGTTTTATTATTCCATTTGAAAATTTGATACAATACATATATAACCAGATTCAAACTATTTTCCGAAACAGTTAAAAAAAATATATACATACCAGTAATTATCACCAAATATACACAAGAACGCCAAACAAACAATATTGTACATAATGGCTACACGTAGTTCCATTGAAAATTCCTGAAACATACAAATAGAAATACTATATGGTATATGATATAGATCTGTAATGACGTTCTATAAGTAGGATGAACATGTAATCTAATCATTACCATTAATACCCGAAGATTACCGTGAAAACTGGAGTCATATTATATATTAAAGAAAAGGCAGTTGATAACAAGATTACATCCAAGTTATTTACCCGTCCGTGAGAAATATAGCGACACCATTTATCCAACAAACCTTAGGTATTTAGGATATTTTTAAAATACATTAAGTATTTTTTATCGATTATAACCAATCGTTAATACAAAAAGAAAATGAACAAAAAGGTTATGTACATATTTACAATTTCAGGTTTGGCATATTTATTTAAAATGTCTAGAAACGAATGGATAGGATTATCGTCTGTGCCCTTTACTAATGTCTGTATTGAAATTAAGCTTTGGGGTAAGATAACAAGAGGTTGTCATCCAAAATGCGCCCACATTTTGCAAGAGTTGGACAGAAAACAAGCTTAAAAAGATGTTGCATACAATCTTGGGCTATAGCCCAGGAAGGAACGGTCCGATACGTGCAAGTATCGAAAGGAGCCCAGATCTTTGTGATATAAATATATATTTTAAGTTTCATCAAAATCGGGTGAACATTATGACCTCTAGAGGGTCCACACCTTGGTATTGCATACTTTTACACTATTAGCGTACGCGGAGAGGCCAATTTTGTCGGGCGGTTTCGGTCCGATGTTCACAAAATTCGAAGTCAACCGTCATTATGTTGTAACGGTGATATATTAGAACGTAGTTTTGAATCGGATAAAAATTGTAATCCCTAGAGGGTTTACAGGCTAAAAACGCGATTTTTCGTAGAATCCGATTTTTGGGATATAAACATAATATAAATTTCATCGAAATCGGATAAAAATTGTTAGGGTCCACAAGATCAAACGCAATTTTTCGTAGAATCAGGGGCCATAACCCAGGAAGTTAGTGTCCGATATGCGCGACTGTCGAAGGGGACAGGTATCTTTGGATTATAAATATATATATATATATCTTTGGGTTATAAACCTATATTTCAAGTTTCGTTAAAATCGAAGAAAAATGGTTACCTGTAGACGTGCAGAAATAAATTGTGCACCGACGGGCGGACTGGGGTGACGACAATATACGTCAACAAGACACTGTGGGCGTATAAAAATTGAATTTGTGCGTGTTTCTCAATTTTACTTTATACGTGTCGTAAATCTACACCCTATGTAGTTCCTATATAGAAAGACAACAATGAGTCGGGGTCATTTAAAAGAAGCCAGGCAAAGAAACATATTTGGAATAACCTTGGGACAATGTTATTTTTGGGGTTAACGGTTTGCTGGTGATGAGTACATTATGATAATTAGTCATGGCCGAACGTGTTTAACTTACATTACACTATAGCTAGCATCTATATATATATATATATATATATATAAATCGGATAAAAATTGTGACCTCGAGCGGGTTCACAACCTTTGTATTACACTATTTGCGTGCGTGGAGCGCCCATTGTGTCGAGCAGTTACGGTTCGATTCAAACTCAAACCATCATTATAGTGTAAAGGTGACATTTTTAACCTTTTTTTTAATCCGATGAAAATTGGGACATCTAGAATGAACAATCAGGTGCCATAATCTGTAAAGTTACGGTCCACTATGCGCGAATATCGAAAAGAACTAAGATCTTTGGGATATAAACATATTTTAAGTTTCATCAAAATGGGATAAAATTGTGACCGCTAAAGGATCCACAACCTTGGTGTCACACACTTTTACACTATTTGCGTACGAGGAGCGGTCATTTTAGGTCAGATTTTCACGAAATTTGAACTCAACTATCATTAGGGTGTAGCGGTGATTAATTTGAACGGTTTTTAAAATCGGATACAAATTGTGACCTTCAATTACAACACAAACTAAAAACGCGATTATTCGCACAATCAAGGGTCATATTCCAGGAAGTTACAGTCCGATATCGAAAGGGGTTATAAACATAGCTTTAAATTTTCATCAAAATCGGTAAAAATTGTGACCTCTTAGAGTGACCACAAGGTAAAAGTGTGATTTTCGTACAAACTGGGGCCATATTTCATGAAGTTACGAGATCTTTGGGTTATAAACCTATATTTCAAGTTTCGTTAAAATCGAAGAAAAATGGTGACCTGTAGACGTGCAGAAATAAATTGTGCACCGACGGGCGGACTGGGGTGACGACAATATACGTCAACAAGAAATTTTGGGCGTATAAAAATTGAATTTTTGCGTGTTTCTCAATTTTACTTTATACGTGTCGTAAATCTACACCCTATGTAGTTCCTATATAGAAAGACAACAATGAGTCGGGGTCATTTAAAAGAAGCCAGGCAAAGAAACATATTTGGAATAACCTTGGGACAATGTTATTTTTGGGGTTAACGGTTTGCTGGTGATGAGTACATTACGATAATTTGTCATGGCCGAACGTGTTTAACTTGCATTACACTATAGCTAGCATCTATACAGAAGGTCTCATGGGTAGGCGATTAGCTTGGTTTACAATTGTAAACAAATTCGCATCAATGCCCAAAGGATTGTTTTTGTTTGATGGATATTATCTTCGGATAAAGACAATTTGACCAAGATGCCATTCCTGGCAAACTCTTTTGAAAAATACAAGCCACCTCGGAGGCTGATGTCGCCCGCCGCAACCCCAAAATAAATAGGTGACACATATTAATTGCACATATACTTTTTTGTGAAAAGTATCGAGTAATCAAACTGGTTATCTATACTTAGTCTAAGCAGAAAATGTTCACTACCTGCTAGTGAAACTCTACACTACGTTTCTTCACTCTCCGTAAGTTAGAATCAACGTTATGTTGTTCCAAACCATCGACCAATGAAATTGCTTCGCTTAAGTGGAAAATGTTAATCAATGAACTCAGTCAAGACATTAACCTAATGGACATCTGCACCAAGTTCAAACATTCTACCTCAATTAAAAGCAGCAATGTACCAATGTCTTGTCCAATCATAAAATTTTGTCATTGAACTTAGTCAAGGTATGCAATATAATGAATCTATACTCTGAGTTTCATCAATCTCACCCAATAAAAAACCAAAGTTATCGTATTCCTAAGTCTCAACCAATCAAATTGCTTATCTATGCTTAGCCTTAGTGGCAATTGCGCATGATTGAACAGTCGAGGCATTCACCTAATAAACACCTACACCAGGTTTGAACATTATAACTCCAAAGTCTCGATTAATGATACTTAAGTCTCTACTCACCATCGAACTTCGTCAAGGTATTGATGTAATAAAACTATACACGAAGTGTCACGACTCTCACTCAATTAGAATCAAAGTTATCGAGCGTCAAAGTCTCGACCAATCAAATTACTTATCGTTCTGTTTACTCTGATCAGAAAATACTTCTTAATGAACTTAGTAACTTTTTTAAAATATGAGTATCAAAAGAACAAAACAGCAGGACCTACTGAAGGTTTTAGGCCATGTTTTGTCATGGTCAAGGTCAAACACGGAAGTCAAGAGTCAAAATATTGTTACTTGGTTTTCAAAAGAACCAACGACCCCATGACCTCCTGAAGGTTTCAGAACATTTTATATGAGCACAACACAACGATACTTTAATATAACAAATCATTAGAACGATATTTCGAATATTAGAAGATATCGATCAATCGAAACAACTGTCAGGGTTGGTGTATTACATTTCATTGTCGGTCGAGATTGGTACTATACATTTCATTGTCCGGCTGGGTGCGTTATGGCAGGGTGGGCGTGTCGTTACATTTCATTGATAGGTTGGGTGCGTTATGTCAGCGTGGCTGCGTCACTTTTCATTGTTAGGATGGGTGCGTTAGTATTCTTGTCGGAGTTTGTTAAGGGTGTGCATTTGTATGTGATCATGAATCGTAAAAAAGATAGTAATAGATATCGGCGGACTAATGAACCAGCGGACTAGTGAGCATTCTCGCTGCTCGGCCTAAGTAGAAAATGCTCATCTTCGAACTCCTTCTGGGCATTCATCTAATGAACACCCACGATATTGTGGGCCTATGTGTTTAGTAACCCAATACTTCTACATAGCCCCTTTCGCGGTGTACATACTTTTACCAACGATGTTGCAAGGTCTGGAAGAAAGTCATTCACAGATGACATTACGTCAGTATTACTTTGAAAATGACGACCGGCTATTTCCGTTGCCATTTGTTGAAACAGATCTCATACAAATCTGGCCAAAAATTACCAGGGTCTTGCTTCAAGGCTCTCTGAAACGCTTAAAATCCGCAGCCCACTTCTTTACGGAAGGTGCACCATCCCCTAAAGTGAAGATCGTGTCGCATGTATCAGTGCTGGGGTTAGTCCGTTTAGTTGCAATTACTTGGTGACTGCCCTGTAGCCAATTTGGTCCATTTCTGGCGATTTCAATGGGTAGGTCCACAAGATGGTCAGGTACGAAGATAATATATACTAATACGACAGTTGCAGTTCTTATGATCTATCCTTTTCAGGCTTATAACTTTCAGGCAGCCCTCGTAAATATTTTTGTTTAATTTAGATATCCCACAGATTTTTTTTGCAGGTCGATCCTTTTCCAAGCGATTTGCTCAGGAGTTACCACTAGGTTCTTAAACCTCTTTGGCGTCATCTGCTACGTCCAGAGGAAGCCAAGAACTACTAGTATACGTTCACATTTAAAATGTGTACTAACTTAAAACATGCCAATTCGATAACTAGGGTGTCAGTGCCCAATATGAACGAAGAGTTTGTATATCGTCGATCCGACTTATGCACCAACTTGACTGATGAAGACCGCATTCACCATACAGTGTTTCATCGGGAAACGTGCTGAGGCCAACTCTTTTTTTTACTTCTGTCCCTCCGTCCTGCACCACCGACAAAGGGAGAAATACGCTGGAAAATCCCGGGGAACTTTCTCGGCCAACACCGAGATCGACTTACTCACTGATTCACCGC